TGTAAAATTTTATGGATGTACCCAATACGAAACGGATGCGTCAACATCGATCCGTGACGCACAACCTAGACATTTAGCAAGAAAAGTAACTAAATTTAAACAAAATTTGAACCTCGTTATTAAAAAAAAATTATAAAAACGGCAAAAAAAATATCTGCATTTTATTTATCAATCTTTATTTTCAATAAAGAAAATGAATAACCAGTATTTCAGTTTTTAAACAAGAACATATTGTTTATTAAAAGAAAATGATATTTATTTTATAGAAACCAGGGGAGGAAAGAGTATCCTAGCGGATCCTCGTGCTCCAGTGGTACACTCTGGACACAAAACAATTTATTTTAACCAAAACGTATTTTAATGAATCCCTTACAGTTAAGATAACCGTCATTAGTTGAACAATGTTTATAAATAAGGTATAGAATAATGAGAAGTAATGGACAATATTCACAGACCTGGACATTTCTTTTAAATAAACCCGCATTTGTGGGTTAAAACCTTTGTAAAAACTGTCTACTGTGGTAGGGCCACGCAACAGTTCACTGCGGCATAAGTGGGCAGGGCCTTCCGGGGAAATACCACGACCATACGGAAGACCGGCGTGAAGTGGAAGTGTTATACTTCTGCGTTTCGTCTGGTGAGGGAGGTAGCCGAGGCTTTTATTAAAAGGTGGCGACGCATCTACAACTCTAAGGGTGTTGCAAATGTCCATGGGTAGCGGTTATGACATGCCACTTTCTCACATAAAACATCACAAAACATTTTGTAAGAAATTTATAAATGTTACCTGCGAGTAAGAATTATAAAATAAATTATTTGAAGCACACTCGCTCCTTCATAATACTCTATGGCAGAGAGACTGTAGTTTTCTTTCACAGAAGTTCTACAATTTTGAGCAAAACTATTTGATAAAATAAGTATAATAACTGATATAATTTTAGAATGTGTACCTTGGAAATTCATTATTATTTTTATATATAACGATAATCATGTTGCAACTGGACTATAACGGAAAATTTTTAATCTTTCTTTTACACTTTTATCTTAATTTATTGATAAGATAAGACACTCTTGATCAGTCGGGAGGCGTGACACGCATCTCCGTATAATTATAAATTATCTTTATCTGTTCGTCTTGGAAAAACTCCAAAAGTATGAGGTGATAACAGTTTTCACAATGAAAGATTGCCTGAGAGATATAAAGTTGCCTGATGGAATAATTTTCATAACCTTCGTAGGTTTGCTAATTTTAAATATATAACTACGTACGTGAACAACCCGATTACTTCAGCGCTCACGTTTTAGGCTCATTAATTTTTCATGATTATTGAGCAGTAATAAATATATTGTCGAAACTGTAGTAGCAAAACTTCAATTAATTAATGCGGACTACATAATATTGAGACCTCTTTCAAAACATTCTATTGAGGACAAAACCTCTGACGCTAAACCTATTTCGATTGCCGCGCACTTTCATCGTTGTGGGCGCGTGTGACGAGCAACGCCGCCGTGCGGACGTCTGTATGCACATTCCATTCAAGAACGTTCGAGAATCCGCGGTACCCGGTCAGTACCGCTAGTAATATTCCACTGACTTTTTGAAATCGTGACGTATGTGTGCGGATTGCGTAGGCATATGTGTGAGTGCGGCATGCAACCGTCGGACGGCGCCGGGCTGTTCCCGCGCTCCGAGTGTTTTTGGTACAAGTTATGCCATAACCAATAAACAGGAAGAGGGTAAATAACATTGGATTGATAAAATATTACCGCAACCATCTCATTCAATGTGTGACAAGCAAATAAAAATAATTATTGAACAACAATTTAAAACTGTAAATAATTTTAATTAATTCGGAATGAAAAATTAAGGTTACTGGTAACGGTCATCATATCACGCAGCGTGATTACTTATTGAAATCGTTTAATGATATAAATCCACTTGCGATCCATCGAATTCGCGTATAAATCTAACTTCCTCAAGAAGCAAAAACATAATAGAAAACTGAATGAAAACGTCGAGACGTGGCCGTCGGCACAGAGTAACGTCAACGAAATTTATTGTGGTCCCGTATTCTGGTCGATTCGTCTATGACGCGTTCGTCTGACGCCAAAGCTCCGAGCTTTCGTGCTTGTGTGTGCGTAGCCGAGGGCGCGGCACACGCTCAGCTTTCGGATTCGGCTATTGTGCAGCCGAAACCGAACTGGTCCTAATGTTTACGTTGTGTCTGCGCACGTGATGCGAAGCACGCAGGCGCGTTATGAAACATCACTTAAACGTATGTGGTAAACCTAATCATCGCAACAAAAAATTTAAAATATTCACATCCAATATGACAATGACGTGACAAGTTCTTAGGTAACTACCATAAAAAAAATATAGAACCGAATTGAGAACCTCCTCGTTTTTTGAACTGATTAGTAAAAAGACACCATCCGCCCTCGAAACGTGTTGTCATTACATATCATCAGTATGTATGTTTTAAATGAAGTAATTGAAAACAAGAATTATACCAATTGGCACAAGCTAAAATGTTTTACAACAACACAACAAATACAACTAGATAATTGGCCTATTTAAAATAACACTGTTAAGGAAAATATACCATTTTTAAATGTAGATTGTAATATAACGCCACAATTAGATTTTTTATAAATACGATTTCGTTTTGACGGTCAAATAGTAATACTACCTAATTCCAGAGTATGCACGTTGACGGTCGTTTCCACTAGAAAATGTACGTAATTATGGTGTATTTTATCCCATTCAATGACAATTATATCGCTTATACGTTCCCTTTTGTCTTAATCTGACATAATTCAAAAATATTTACCATCCAAAATTCGACAAAAAACAATTTTTTATTCACACTTTTTACATATTAAATTTCCGTGTGCTCTTATTTCATACAAGTATTTTTTTATTTAAAACCAATAATTAAACAGTGGTGAACAGAAATAATTTGAATGCCTTTTGTCCCATCAGATTGTAAGACGTATTAAAGTGTATTAATTTTTTGTAAAAGTTTTGCAATTTTTGCAAATAGAATGTAAAAATTATTTCATGGTCATTAAAAAAATCTTGGAATTTAAAATAATCTTTCATTTACAGTAATTAAAACAGCAGTTCAATCTAGAGTTATAACCGTGCCAGTGAAACGAAACGATGCGGTATTTGATCTACAGATAGATTTGGTTACTGGAGATAGAAATTTGACGTAAGAATTATGGAGCTAATGTCAAATACCTATCGCTGGTAATCTATCTGTACATAAACTATTGAAACCGGCCAAGGGAACTACTTGTAAACTTGACTTGGATTCCACATACATTAACGGATAAAGAATGCAGAAAGACGTTAACAAGTAGGTACAGCACAAAATTTCCGACAATATTTACAATATAGCAAAAGAGTTTGTTTTTAATCAATTAACAATTTCAGTGTTACATTAAATTGCGTTATAATAATTACAATATTGTAAAAACTTACAACAGTAGAACAAAACACTCGCTATCCTAATCAAATGATTAGCTGAAATGTTGCAGTAGCGAGCGATCGTTCGCATTAACCGTTAAACGATTCAAATGCAACGAAGAAGGGCGTCAAAGCGCCAATGGGAAAATTGCAATCGCTAGCTACGCAGCCCGGCGTCGCCCGTGTCGGCCGTGCCACCCGGCATTATCGAAAGGCGCACCACAATGCATTTGACGAGGCAGAACGATTTTGCGGGCCACGCGCGCCGTGACGTATGCGCTCCGCCTACGTGCCCACACAGGCGCGCTCCAGCGAAACAACGACGCGCGAACATTGTCTATCGTTGTTAATAAAAATCATAATCGAGAAGTTGTCCATTAGACGTTTGATTTTATCGAACATTTATGACCTAGCGCCATTTACGTTAGCCTTATGTGACAATTTTACGGTGGAAGCCGAAGCCGTTATAGGAATCGTAATGGAAGCGGCTGTTTCGGGAAAATTCCCCTCGGATTTATTACTGTTGAAGTTTATTACATTGTGTCATTATTAGGTATAGCTACGAATCAATACCGTCCCTCGCCCCTCTTTCTGTCTGAATACGCCACCCATGGTCAACGAAGTTTGATCGATATTTGGTTAGCCATTATTATTGTACATTGAATTAGCAAAATTAAATTCCTCCATAATCGTATAAAACAAAGAAAAATACTACATTGTACCGATAAAGTTTCATGGCTACATGTAAATGAAAACATAACACGTGTAACTAATAATAAAAATAAAATGGCACATCCCTTCACGAAGTCAATCTTGTTCTAAAGCGTTATTTTGGCATAAATTATGTTCAGATTTATTACTAAAAGACTGTGCCGGCATTTAGTGTACGGACAAAAATTTATTCTAACGTATTATGCAAATATTCGGTTCAGGTGTACCTTCAGCTGCTATTTCTGTGTGAGTTTACGCACACTAAGGCACACACGCGCACAAAGGCGGCGTTCTGATACGGTAACGAAAGGGGGCAGGTGCGGGGAGAGGGTCGACGCCGACCACAGCGAACCTTCCTATAAAACACTGCGCTGCCATCTGCAAGTTTCAATAGATAACTTGAGCTCTGAAGAAATAGATACTCGCTGCCAACATTTTCGCGTGTTGAGCGGAACTGAAAAATACCTGAATGTTGTGCATCCTTGCAGGGCAGCGGCGTGAAAATAAATATTACTGAATGAAAACAATCAAGAACTCACACTCTTTACTAACTATTCGGCGATAAAATAAACTGTGTCACGCCGCGACTTTAGTGTACGTTCGCTTTCCGGCCTCCGCTGGCCTGAAGTAACACATCCTCCAACGGAATACATGCGAGTGATGTGAATTGTTTAATTGGTGATTTCTCGCGAATCTGGATTATATAGAACTCTTACATTTGAGAAAAGAAACTGTTTTCCCGAGTGTTATATTCTATAGACACTACCATTTCGACGTTCCCTGACGATTTCTAAGACTGATCTGAAAAGTGGTCAAGATGAGCTTCAATAAGAACAACCCCAACGCGATGGGGAAAATCATGGGATATCTGAAGCAGCTCTCCACTGAAATGGTAAGTTTCTGATGCGATTGAATTACGATCTGTTGTAGCTTTGCAAGTTTTTAACTAACATTAACTTTTAGCATGTATCCTTTACGCCTCACAGTTAATTTAATCACTATTTTAATGATATTGGTCCCTAACAAAATTGTAACACTCACTTTTACACGATTATTTTAATTCCGAATACTCTGGAAGGCGCGCGGCGCGCTCCGCAAGGCAGGCGGCCGGCGCGACAGTCGGTCGATGCCGTCTGTTGCTCGGCAACCGCGATTTCCATTCTTGATATTCGCATTCTTTTTTCGTTGGCAAGAAAACAGTTATAATAGATACTTATAATACTATCAAAGGCCAAACGAGGCAAAAACAACCAAGCAATGCTTTGCGCAAAAGCGGCCTTGCAAGGTCGGCCAGTTTACAACTACTGACCAATATCGCCTTCCGTCTGTGGAATCTTTACTTTCATTTTTAACCTCCTGAGCACTTCCTATAAAAAATATTAAGTTTGTTATAAGAATACTCAAGAACTTTACTATATAGCGTTTTGAAATATTATATACTTACAATAAATGTTAAACTTTAGCACTGACGCTTAGAAATATCGCAATGAAAATGGGTTGCATTTAAATATTTAAATGAGGATAACTACGTCTATATCCACCAAGTGTACCACCATCTATTAACATTTCTTTTAATTGAATATGCAAATAATTACACTTTCGGCTGAGTAGCGCCATCTAAAGGTAGATTTAAGAACAACAGAAGTTAAATAAACGAAACAAGTTCACTACGAGTCGAAGTAGTTTTACTTTATTTGCGATAGATGGCATTATTTAACCACTGAGCACTATTCAAGAACCATCAGAGGTTATCGGAATATGGTTTTATTACAACTAAATTTGCCTTTTTTTATAAAACCAGACTGCGCGATAGTCAAAGCTAATCAAGAATACAACGAATATAGCGATCTAAGAAAAATGCGTATATAAGGACCATTACGTACATGTAATATTAAAGGTACCGGTCATGCCAATTCATTCAAGTTGCTGATGCGTTGCTCGCCTTTAAAAACTCTTAAACTAGGACGATTGCCTTACTTACGATATGAAATGCAAAAGTGTAAATACTTCCACGTTTTTCTATCAAGTCATAGTACTTATTCACGACTAAAATTTAATAACTTAACTTATTTTTATTATTTACTAGGGACCCGCCCCGGCTTCGCTCGGGTGAATACATATAAACCTTCCTTTTGAATCACTCTGACTAGTAAAAAAAACCGCATCAAGATTCGTTGCGTAGTTTGAAAGATCTAAGTATACTCTGTCCCTATGACAGAGAGACAGCGAGACGACTTTGTTTTATGCTATGTAGTGATGTAACATAGAGATTAGATTTATTAAATTTCAATATGAATTTAAGATTCTAGCCTATAGTAAAACACGAGATGGTTTAAAATAATATTCTATACATCTTGAGCATATTGGACAAATGGAGCAATAGGACATTGCGTAGTCCAAAAAGCTACCGTTTTTTTAAGAGTAAATATAACCTATTAGCCATCTACGGCATCGTAATAAACCACATCCGAAAGTAATAACGCAATGCCCAAAGTTAAAAAAATTTTACCCCCGTACGCCCTTTCCCCAAAATTCTCTCGTTATTATTTTCTCTGTGTTCACGGATCTATGTAAAAAAAACAGATTTATAAACAAAGGTTAAAGGAAATAAAGTTGTTCTACTAGTACTCATCACGAGTAAACAAAATGAACTATTTACGTAACATTAATAACATATCAATATTTTATATGTAAATAACATTATCGACGTAATATTATTGGTGCTAGAATTTGTCCCAACTTTGTAACAACTTGTACAAAATTCAAAAATAAATAAAAAGTACCCAAACCGACATAAGAGCTTAGTTTCCAATATTAACGATTTTGCATCTTTGAAGTTTTAAATGAGCCCTTATTATCAGGCACGTGTTGCTTGACCCGTTTATGTAAAGGATCACTTAGATAACATAAGGAAATTAGTAGAAAATACAACGCATTGTCAAAATAATGGAGGAGAAACTATATTTTACAATAAAAACCTTTGCGACAAGCATGAAAATGACATTTGCATTAAAGAAGGATGAAAAGAAAATGTCATAAACAGCTGTATAATAAAACATTACATAATAAATAATCTAAATTTTCAGTACAAATGGGTAAATACTGTAAAAAAATTCATTTGACTTTCTCAAGTTATAATACTTTTAATGATGACCATGAGGTAATTCACGTAGTAAATTACAGCTTAATATTAATTCATAATAGAATCAATTATTGATAATAGAATATAATAAGACTTCATACCATGTTAAATAACGTGAAATACATATGTGATATAAGCGAATGTGTGAACAGCTAGGAAGAAATAAAGGTGCGGTGCACAATTTCACATACGTACAACGAAGAAAAAGTTTATATTTTGTTTCATAAACATCATTATAGTTGGACAGACGTCTGATGATATCAATAGTCGATATAAACAATGGGCCAACACTTGGCCATTATTCGTGGAGAGTTCGTTCTGGAAAGAGTGCACTCCTTTGTTTTATCAACATTAAACGCGGGGGAACATTTCAAAATTGTCAATCTTGTGTGATGTCTGTGCCAGGAATTTACTCGGCGATCAGGTCAGGGCCCTTAGGTATCATTAGGTTATCTTTTACATGCTGCGATCATATGGACTGTGGTCAATAAAGCGATGTTTTCTTTAGTCTGACCTCAGGCTCAGTTCATAACTCTTATCTCCATATAACTAGCTTACGCACGTAAGATAGCAGATAGAATAAATTGAGTATGTTTGCGGATGTTAGCATCAGTATTGACGGTTTCGTTGGCTGGCCACCAAACAGTTTTAGGAAACTGGAATTGTGGGTTTACAATTAATACAATTAACTGTCGGTTTCAATATTGGAACGCCGTTTTTGAGTATGCATTCTCATTGACAGGGTGGGAGCGAAGAGACTCGCCGCGGGCAAGGCGAAGAAGAGCGACTGTATCGAACAAGGGGGCCCAAATACGCGAGGGTGCCATCGAGAGCGACTCTATCCGCGTCTACCACCTGCACCTCGTTAGCCACCTCCTGCGGCTCGCAGGGTACACTCGCCCCCAATTACGCAGCGATCCCGGAGACCGTCTCCACAGAGAGCAGCAGCGAGGACGAGCAGGACTCCTTCGAGAAGACCCGCCGCCATTTCCAGCAACTGCGCCAGATCAGCTTGGGGAACGAGTTCAAATACAAAATGGAGATGGAGATCAAGAGCGCCAAGGAGGAGAACTTGCGCAATAGCGTGCCATTCGTGAAACAGTTAAGCACCGACAGCAACAAAGTTAAAACCGATTATACCATTAATGGGGACAGCCAGCCATACAATGCGCCGACAACTCAGCGTCTGTTTCTTTGGACTCAGGTAGATAGACATTTCGATTTGATTTATTTAATACTTTCGTGTGTAGTTAATGTAAAAATGATCTTTTTATAGGTATTACATAAATTATGATTAGTATTAAAATTTTCTTTGTACTCCAATTAACTGAATCTACGCCCTCATAAACAGTACAAAGAATATCAGGTGAATCACGATCTGTGGTAGTTTGATTCTCTGAAACTCGAAGTAACTGAAATCAAGCTACATGTTTATATAAATACATATTATACGATTGGATGAAGACGAACTTTATGACTTTTAGATTTCGCTTCTACGTTATTTTTGTTTTAATTTAGAAGCTTGAATTAAAGAACTTTTTTAATTTGAAATAGACTTTTGCATGTGAAATACAATACGTACGTTACTTTTCTTTTTCTTTCCATCTAAAATAAACAATGTCATGCAATAAAGAACAACGACATAAAGCTGAAAATAGCAACTGTACAAGCAGTAGTTCCCTTTTGTGTGCTAAGGGGTTAAGGGAAAAATCCATATTTATGACTAGATCAACAGGCGTAGGTGGTACATATAAGACCGAACCACCCACTGAACTTCAAAGCTGCTCTAGTTGAGGTTCCGTTGCTACGTCTTATCAAAGTCAACGTGACTTTGTAAAAAAATAGGCAGCACATGACGAAATTGTTCCTTACTATGTGATATATTTTATTGTGTAAAAGTTAGCATAAACAATTAATATGTGCAAAATTATCGTTGGTTCGGAGCAGGTACATATATACGTATACGTATTCTTTCTATCACAGTGTTTTGTTTAAACCAATGGTATAATAATTTTCTTCAAATTGTTACAGATATTTGCAGCATTCGCTGTTTCAATGGGATCGATGATAGTTGGGTTTTCGTCGGGCTACACATCACCCGCCCTCGCCAGTATGAACGAAACTCTAGTTTTCGGGAAAGAGGAGGTAAATGAGTTATTTGAATAAAATAAATCAAAATATTAGAAACGTATTTCGTTATAAATTGGTGGTGAATGTATGGTTATAGTATAAATACGAATAATGTTTTCTTTGTCTTACAGAACAGTTGGATTGGCGGTATAATGCCTCTAGCGGCATTGGTTGGCGGTGTTTTGGGTGGTCCGCTGATAGAAGCGGTCGGAAGAAAAATGACTATAATCGGCACTGCAATACCGTTCTTCATGGGATGGATGTTGATTGCGAACGCGAATGGAGTTGCTATGGTGTTGGCTGGACGCGCTTTCTGCGGTCTGTGTGTCGGAGTCGGCAGTCTCGCGTTCCCCGTTTACCTCGGCGAAACAATTCAGCCAGAAGTCCGAGGCGCTCTAGGTTTACTTCCGACTGCGTTCGGTAATACGGGCATATTGCTGGCATTTTTTGCCGGCATGATAATCACTTGGAGGAACTTGGCGTTTTTGGGCGGTTCGCTTGCCATTCCATTCTTCTTGCTGATGATAATAACCCCGGAGACGCCGCGTTGGTACGTCACGAAGGGTCGCGCTGAAGACGCCCGCAAAGCCCTTCAATGGCTAAGAGGGAAAAACGTCAACATTGAGAAGGAGATGCGAGAGCTCACCAGGTCCCAAGCGGAAGCCGACCTAGTCGGTGGGAACCGTTTCAAGCAGCTTCTCTCCAAGAAATATGTACGGGCAATCCTCATCTCCCTGGGACTTATGTTTTTCCAACAACTGAGCGGTATCAATGCGGTCATATTCTACGCTTCTGAGATATTCAAGTCGGCGGGCAGCACTATCGACGCAAACGTGTCCTCCGTAATTATCGGGGTGGTGAACTTTATATCGACCTTCATTGCGACCGTACTTATCGACAGGCTTGGAAGGAAAATACTTTTGTACATTTCTTCCGTTTCAATGATCGTGACCTTGGTGACATTGGGCTCTTATTACTACGTGCAGAAAGTCGGTGTGGACGTAAGCGCTTACGGGTGGCTGCCACTTGCATGTCTCATAATATACGTGCTCGGATTCTCCATCGGCTTCGGCCCGATCCCCTGGTTGATGCTTGGTGAAATTTTACCGTCGAAGATTCGTGGAACGGCGGCGTCTTTGGCAACCGGTTTCAACTGGACCTGCACTTTTATTGTTACCAAAACATTCCTTAACATTACGGAAGCCATACACATGCATGGCACCGTGTGGTTGTTCTCTGTGATATGCCTAATTGGGCTGTTTTTCGTCATATTCTGCGTACCGGAGACTCGGGGCAAGAGTCTGGAGGAAATAGAAAAGAAACTGACTGGTGGTTCGCGTAGAATACGGAACATCCACATCAACAAACATATGCAAAATGGCTGTTAGTTCGAGTAGGGGAACATTAGGTGTGAAGTATGTTATTGGGTTGGGCCAAATAGCTCCGTTACCCAAAATTTCGAATGTGATTTAGGTACAAAAGGGGGGAAGCGATGCTACACGATAATGTGTACGCAGAAGACTGACTTGGAATGTAATCATATTTTGTACAGTATATAATTAGTTATAGTAACGCACTCTTAATTTAATAATAAGTAAATTATAGTTCCTTTAGAGTTATGGCAAAATTGTTTCGCTTTTAATGATTAGGTAAATTAAAAGTGATATGTTTATCATAGAATCTCGCATATGGTCATTATACAGCCCAGTATATTTTGACAGATGTTGTAAAAAGTACGAAGATATGTAAATATCTATATACTTTCTATATGTACCGGTTTAAGTTTATGCAATTTGTAACTTATCTACAATACTTTAAAATATTTATATGAAAGAACATGACACTATGATTAAATTAATGTATATTAAAACGATTAACAAATAAATGTACTTTAATGGTTGATAAACGTTATAGTAATGGCGCTATATTCACATAATTATTGTAAGGATAGTATCATACGAATATGTTTTCGTATATTACGGAAACATTATTTATTATATTTGTTATTATTTTCAATATAAAATTACCACTTATTACTGTATTTTATTTTACCTACCACCTGTACCTACTTAAATCAACTCTATTTGCGAGAACTTGTAAATGGCTATCTCTTTCCTATTTATTTATATGTTAATAGTTATATGTTAGCTGTAAGTTTTCCATACATAAATAAAAAAAAAAAAAAATAAAAAAAAAACTCTATATACAGTTATAATACACTCTATACTCTATAACGAAGTTTTCTTTGTTAAATAAAACTTTCTCAACTGAAAGATTGTGTGATAATGTGTTCGGTGTAAAAAATAAGTATTGATTGTGTACCGTGAACACGTATATACATTTTCAACTGTTGCCTACTGTCAACTCAATAATTTCCATACATATATTATTTCTTTTTATATCATTTATTACTTCCGTACGCCATAACCTCTGTAATTCTTCATAAATTTTAATGAATAAACCACCATTGTAAAGCTAAAATATAATTACAATGCCGGTATACAAGTATTATAAAGTTAATATTTTTCATAAAAAATAAAACTCGTTTAAAATTTTAATCAAGAATTTATAATAATGCCATCTATTGACAATTTGTTTCAATGAAAGATAGCACAGTAGAAACGATATTCTTATTAATAAAATACGGTTCAACAGTAATAAAATAGTATTCATTATTTACCTTTCGTGTGGTGGATGGATGCGGAAAACAAATCTTATGTTAAATGTAACATAGTTTACCTTGATTGACCTAATTATGAAAAATTATTGCTATTTTTAGGGGGTTTAATAATAAATTTTTATATCTAGCCTATGTTATAATTTGTCTATATTAACATATTTATAAAAGGTTTTTGTACTAGAGACTGACCTGTCCTAGTTTCTCTCAGGTGCAATTTTCAGTTTTTAAAGTGAAATAGATGATGTCTGCAGTAGATGTAGTAACTGTCACTAGCCCTTTATGTAATGTAATCGGTTGATTCGCGTATCTTAATGTAGTTTGGAGGATGATAGTAGAACATTATATCTTTGCCATGCGCAAGATCAGGCAGCTAATAGAATTACTTAAGTAACATAACCGTGTAATATATATTAGTAAAGTAAAGTAAACGTTTTTGTTTTAACAATAGTCGGCTTACCTAATTGAGTTGGGTATTCTATATTCTTATAATAGGCAAGCATATTTATGCAATGGTATTTTTTTACTTTTGATTAATCTTTATGTATTTTTATATATGATTTGCTACAGGCATAACCAATAAAGAAAAAAAAAAAAGAAGCAGCTGCTAAATTAGTTAATTATGCTTATTTTCAGAGCATTTTGTCATACGGATCATACGGTCTTTTACTTTGGGATTCCACATCCAGTTTAGACATAATGCCCATTTGTATTGCCAAAGTAAGCGATACTTACGGGCTGTCTATGGCTTGGATTCACATGAGTCAGTACGGCATATTTCTAAGCAAATGAACGTTTTAAAGTACCCGTCGCTATAAGTCGAGAATTTATAGAAAATTTATGTAGCAAATAACATATAACATTTTTTACAAACTCCACAACACGTCGGACCGTGGCGATACGCTGGAAATACCGTGATTTAGACTGGTTAAAACCAGAAAATCGTTTCTTGGTAGATGTATTAACTTATCTATATAATAATATGTGAAGCAAAACTTTTGTACCCCTTTTTACGAAAACTATGCGGACGGAGGAGTATGCAATTTCAAACACTTATAGTTTATATTTAAAATTATGCATAAAAATACATTAAATCAATGTATATATTAATTATTTTATTAAAACGTATTAATTATGATCGAATTTCGCCAACTGAACGACCACTGTTGTAATAAACAACTAAGTGTAAACAATTTGAAATATTTTAGTGCTACCCTATTGGAAAGCGCCTATAATAATTTCGAAGAATACATAATAATGTGGACAAGACAAGGATGTGTGGAAATGACTCTTGCTCTGGCATTTTTTATACTTATATAATTATAAAAAAAGTTAGTATTACCGCAGAGTGTCTTGACGGTTCTTCTCTGGACAGGTCTAGTTTAGTGAACCGGTGATATAACTTTGAAGTCCAGTAAGGGCTTAAAATAGGTCAATATGGAATAAAAAATTTTGAATTTGAAATAAAATTACTTATTCAGTTCGTGTTAGAAAATGTTAGATTTATAGTTTTATTTTTAGTTAGGTTTATATTTTAGTTATAGGGTCCCAAATCAGAAAAAGAAACTCAGAAGCAGCTGCGCAAAATATTTATTTTTTGATTAAAAAAAAACTGAAAGAAATTTCTCTTCTGTGCTGTGGTAGGACGCAACAGTCTTAGCTTTTGCACGAATGGGCAGGATCGTCCGGGAAAGTACCAGTGTCTCACAGAAGACCGGCGTGGAGTGAAAATTTTATACTTCTGTGTTTCGTCTGGTAAGTAAGGTAACCGGGGCCAACTTTATTAAAATGTAGCGACACATCATCAGCCCTACGGATGTTGGAATGTCCATGCGGCGGCGGTTATCACTTGAAATCAGGTGGAACGCTAGCTCATTGCGAACTTCTACCATTAAAAAATCCTTAGAAGATAGAAGTAACGTGCTGTCGAGGACTCTTTTAAAACTTATCAAGAAAGTTCGGCCACGCATTATAAACATATTTATTTTATATACAGTCTAGGTCTAGAATATTTAAGTGGTTACATACGTTTACGTGGTTACGTGTTTCGAGATTTACAAAATTCTCAGCCTTCGTTTATAATATTAGAATTGGTTTATAAATTTAACTGCAAATAACATAATACAAAATAATATCACAATGACATATACAACGCGTTATATCGTGTTCTAACCAGTGTTACGCAGGATTCAGTTAGAGGGGAGAGCAAAATTGATGGTATGAGGAATTTTGATAGCGTCTAAGTGGTTTAATAACCGTACCGAAAACATTCTATTTGCTTAAAAGTGAAGAAAGTTTACTGAATTACTGCTAAGGAAGAGGTACATTACATTAAAAGAAACTATTACTTGACGATTTACCGATATGTTTTACAGAGAGATACTGTAAGTTCTTCAATGCTTACTTATTTGCCGATAGCAACGTAATATATGCGTCATCACGTCATGCGTCACATATTCTTTCTTATCGAAGGGTCACAAACTCACAAGTTCTACAGAATTTCAGTGTTCAATGTCGAATGATCTCTAGAACTTATAAAGATAATTTCGTCATTAGCAGTACATATTCAGAAAATTTGGTACTGGTTTTTAATTTAGCATAATAATTTCTCCACTAAACAATTTTTTTTAAAGTCAGTATATCAGCATTCTGCGCCGTCGATTAAGAGTGAATATAATTTATTAGGGCCAGCACCATCTTGAGCAAGTATATTTTATTTATTTTTTTATTTTAGATTATAGGTACATTCGTAGTTGGTTATAGTTCAAGGAGGAAAGACTAGACACTATCATCTTCATCATTTCAGCCTGTTTGAGTCCACTGCTGAACATAGGCCTCCACTACAGACTGCCTCGGCCATCTAAATTCATCAACTTCCCACACATTTGCACAGGTTGTCAGTTCATCTAGTGGGGGTTCGTCCTATGCTATGACCAGTATGAGGCTGCCACTCAAGTACCTTTTTCCGGCTATACATTTAACTAATTTATTATATGCTTTTGTTATTCATTAGTATCCGTGTATATACAGATACAGAGATTTTTATTTGCATTAGAATTCATGTATCCAAATGTCTGAACTAAATGTACCTTCGTAAGCAGTCACAACTTACGCACATAAATAAACGTTTACAACATCCTTGATTACGTTCATAACTTTTGTTTACTGAATGATCATCAAAGCGCGCAGTTACGGACTCCACATGTGAACACTGACTGAATGATTGTTTTTAATTACCTCGTTATTGTGCCACTGTGTCCGACATAAAATTATTTATTTGCATAGCGGCGGCTAACTTTTCGGCGTTGCTTACATGACAATTTAGAACTTCAGTTTGCATTTGCAAAACAAAATTCGTAAATGAATTACCGAACAGGATTAAGTTGCGTAGTCGTATAATACACGGTATGCGGTATCGGAGGCAAATTCCATTTCGTGCCATAAAACGAACATCATTTCTCAAATTCTTCGCGCGATAAGCGTGGCTAATTAAAAACTACCATTTTGAAAAATCGCGCGGGACAGCGACCGACGTCGCTTTCTTCGTCCATAGAGGACGATTGTTCTGAATCGCCTAGCCCAGCCTCGAACGCCAATCAGTTTTGCCAATCAATTTGTGCTCGTATAAATCGCGGCGACAGTAAGGAGACGCTTATTGCTTCAGTCGCCAATGCCGGACAAGCGCGGTGCGTTTTCAGGCGTCGCTAGTGCAGAAACTTTGTGTGAAGTGATTGAGATTTTAAAAAATGAAGATATTAATGAGAGCGGACACTCATTATAGCATTGTCGTTAGGGACAGTGAATATGAAAAACCGAAATATACTTTCTCTCAGGTGTGTACGATATTCTTCTCCACAACATTATATATTAACGCTCTTTTTGCCGTCTATGTTGATCTCACATTATAATACAAATACAATAGAAACATTATGATGACAGGTATATTTTGAAAATCACCATCTGCAAGAGATCCCCCATTCGTATATATATATCGTATTCTAAAAATGCTAATATTTTATCTTTATTTACGTAATTTTTTAAATTTATTATTACTTTTTAAATAGGAAATAATCGTACATTGGGTCAAGAAATTAATCTTAGCCGTAATTGTTTTCGTAAAACTAGTTGACCTGACTGTTTAACGGCATTGTTTCGATAAAGCGAGAGTTCTTAGAATAATTAAGTATAATTAAATTTTCACACGCACACTTTATATAAATTGTAATTAAAATTATAAAATTTAAGCATTGCGAAAATTTTAGATTCACTTTAGGAAAACTACTCTCAAGCGTACATGTCAATTAAACAATTCTTGTGTTAATTAAGCTTAAGTCAAAATCAATTAATAATTATAAGTAGGTGTAATTCAAATATTTCATTCAAATTATACATATATACACGCTTTCCATACTTTAAACATATTTTTTTTTTGAAATGGCATTATGATTCTTATATAATTATTAATTTTTGCATACTCCAGAAAACGTACAGAATGTTAATTAGTGTCTCCAAAAAGTTTTCGACACTTTCTCCTGCAGTTTCAAACTATTATTTAAATTATGTAAATCCCATCGACATAACAACAATATTACGCTTTAAAGCAAAATCTCAATGTCTGCGTGCCTTCAATGTTATTTACTATTAGAATGTGTAAATGGGAACAATCAGATCTCTTGATTGCCTTAATGGACGAAGGCGGACCGCACACACCTCCATACTGAACGTCACACAACGTTCGGTAACGTTCACGCTAATCAACGTATATAGTTATGGGTGTAGGGCGAGTTGACAGTATGGATCGATTCATTACAAAACTGCACTGAGAGCGAGAACAAAAGGGAGATATGAAAACAAACGGGTACAAAAGAGATTATTAAAAGATAGAACTGCTTATCTAAATGAATAAAAACTATCGACGTTTTTGGAAACTTAATATAGGTAATATGAGTGAGGTGTTTTATGAAACTTCTTTATCTGTAGATTTTTCAACTAAACAAATAATAATGAAAATTATTGTCCTATATCCCTCGAAATCACAAATAATTTAAAATTAAGTGAAAACAGCTCACATTTAAGATATATTTCGAATTTATTATCAATACCAATAACGAAAAATATTTTCTGTCGAATACTATTTATTGATCATCAATGATTAATGTAACTTTTATTGTCATTTTGACATCTTTTGGAACACTAATAGGTACTGGCTGCAGTTGCCGTCTCTATGGGGTCCATGATAGTAGGATTTTCCTCAGCTTATACGTCGCCAGCACTGGTTACAATGGAAAACAGCACTTCTATATCAATAACGGAAGAACAGGTAAGATAATTATACTTTTAATTTGTAACCTATTGTAGGATCCTGCAAATGTTGACGGTTACCATTTAACAACATAACACCGTTAAATATTTTCGTTTGAAATTTCCAGTTCCGTTCCGTTTAAGTTTTTCCAGTGTCTGGGTATTTATATATATATCTCCTATTGGACCGGACTGACGTTGTCCTGTACACACGACTTAAATTCGACAACCTAGAAATAAAATACAAAATGTAGTGGACCGAATTGTGAATCTAAACCATTCTCGAATCGACCCGCAGACACAAAAAATTTCAATAAAATCGGTATAGCCGTTTAGGAGGAGTTCAGTGACATATACACGTACAGAAGAATTATATATAGAAAGATAATATGTATTTATTTACAAAATAAAAGTATGATTAAGTGTGTTTATCAGTTACCATAGGACAAGCATTATTAATTTGATACATGAAAAATACAAATGTGTCCTGAAGTCCTAATTTATTATTTACAATATGCACTTATTAGGTCGTCGCAGGAGCAAGTAAGGAATAGATAGGCTGCGCCTAACAACAAATTTGTACTTCCAGGCGAGCTGGGTTGGAGGCTTGATGCCTCTAGCAGCGCTGGCGGGAGGAGTAATAGGTGGACCCCTCGTGGATTATATTGGACGGCGCAAAACTATTTTGTTCACCGCGGTGCCCTTTTTCGTCGGATGGATCTTGATAGCGACTGCGAAGATTGTGGACCTTGTACTAGCGGGGCGCGCGATATGTGGATTATGTGTCGGTGTTGGCTCTTTGGCCTTCCCGGTGTACCTCGGTGAGACTATTCAACCGGAGGTGCGCGGCACCCTAGGCCTATTCCCCACCGCTATCGGAAACATCGGAATACTGATATGTTACGTCGCTGGGAAGTACCTTGACTGGTCACAGCTCGCTTATTTGGGCTCGTCCCTGCCCATTCCCTTCCTAATCCTTATGTTCATGATCCCCGAAACACCCAGATGGTACATATCGCGCGGCCGGACCGAGGAAGCGCGCAAAGCGTTGCAGTGGCTTCGCGGCTCCCACACGAAAATCGATAACGAAATCCGTGATATCGCCCTATCAGACGCCGAAATGGGCAAAGACTCTTCCATTACTGAGATATTCAGCCTGAAATATATGAAGTCCATATTCATCTGCTTAGGCCTTATGGCGTTTCAACAGCTGTCTGGTATAAACGCTGTAATATTTTACACGGTCAAAATATTCAAAATGTCTGGTAGTTCGATTGATGAGAATCTGTCCACGATTGTAGTCGGTCTGGTTAACTTCATATCGACATTCATAGCTACAGCTTTGATCGACCGGGCAGGACGAAAGATGCTTCTATACATATCTTCAGTAACAATGACTTTAACTTTAGTCGTTTTAGGAACATTTTTCTACGTACGCGATTCACTGGAAATGGACGTATCCACATTGGGCTGGCTTCCACTTACCAGTGTCATGATTTATTTGCTAGGTTTCTCTTTAGCTTTCGGGCCCATTCCCTGGTTAATGATGGGGGAGATATTACCAGCAAAAATTAGAGGAGCTGCAGCATCCATATGCACTGCCTTTAATTGGTTATGCACATTTGCGGTAACAAAAACATTTCACAACATTGTAACAGGTATAGGACCGTCCGGCACCTTTTGGCTTTTTGGATCTATATGCTTCATCGGGCTATTTTTCGTAGTGGTCTGCGTACCAGAAACTCGTGGTAAGAGTCTTGAGCAAATTGAAAATAAAATGACAGGCAGAAATGACAATAGAACAAGACGAATGAGTTCAATAGCTAACATTAAACCACTACCATGTGGCTGTTAATACTTTTCAATATTGATAGGGATAAAAAGGTAATGCTTAAAAGACTATTATTTAAATATAAAAATATCAAGGCCTACTAATGTTATACTAACAAATAAAATATAATAAAATAATAGAGGGTAAAATAATTGTACATTATTCCAAAAAATAAATAATTGTTTATGCAAGCTATAGCTGATTGTACTTATTGAAATATTTCATAATAAGTTTTTATTTATCATGGGTTTCCTGGTAAAAAAGTGAGAATGATATACACAACATATTAAAATATGTAGTATGGTACTAAATCACACTTTTATCAAAATATTCTATTTTATATATTTTATATATTATGTGTTTATGTTTTGTAATTTAGATAGAATTAAGTTTAGTTTATATAAAAATTTACATTTAAGTTAATTTAAAGAAATTTAATTTAAATAAAAGTTTGTGAACTAGAATAATCTTAGTGAAACTTTATGATATTAGGGTCAAAAATTATTACAGTATGGTATAAAGTACTGGTAAACCTTATCAGCTTTTTTTTCTAGCTGAAATAAAATATAATAAAATCGGATATACCTACATTATTTATTAACATCTCCCTAAGAAAAATATAACCAAAAGCCACCAATATCAGTCTTGTTTAATAGAGACGAAAAGAGCAAGAAAATTACACAACTTTAAGGCAATAAATGCAGGCCAAGGATGTTCAAGACACCAGAGGAGTTGCAGAAAAATTGATGTAGCATTTTAATATTGCAAGCCTATTCATATAAAGTCCAAATATACTATTTTATCATAATTTTAGAGCCGTAGAGCCAATTCTATATAATATATACTCGACCAACCTGAGTTTGATCCCCGGTGCCGGCACCAATGAAGTTTTTAACTTTAAGTGCTGACTTATCACGTGCTCCGCGGTGAAGAAAAACATCGTGAGGAAACCTGCATATTTTCGAAATAATAACAAAAAAAAAATATTTCGAAGATATATGAAGTCCGCCAATCCGCAATGGGGCCGCGTGGTGGACAATGCCCTGATACCCTCTGTATAGAGGAGGCTTTTGCCCAGCAGTGGGACATGTATAGGCGTTACTTTACTTTATCATAATTTAAAAGTAATGCATAAAAAAGCTATTTCACTAAAACAGAAAAAACAACATTAACTAAATGTAACTCATTTAATGTTGTTTTTTCTGACAAATTTTTCGGCTTCTTAACGAATCACAAATAAGTCCTAAGTTAGCAAAATATTGTTCCTTTATATTTTTAAAGCATGGTTTGAGGAAACCCAGAAATTTAAAATTTACATTTACCTTATAATCAATTTAATATATTATGATAGTTAAAGTTCTCTAAATACCTAATCTATATCACAAATTTACTTACCCATGACCTGTACGCGGCAAATTGCACAAGTATCGCATTCTACATCCCAGCTCCACATAGCAACTGCATTCCACTTTTTAAGAGTAAACATTTTATCAGACTTTTGGCAATCACTATCACCGCGATCAAGGGCTTCACCATCTTCTCCTGACATTGTATATTTTTAAGACCGCAGTAATTTTTTGGAACAGTGGCTAATAGTAATTTCAGAAATTGCTTGTTTATTTACTTAACACAACGTACACCGTTTGCAAAGTTAGCTACTTATATATAAGAAGGTTACGATGAAACTTATTCTTATTTTTTATAAATAAAGATTTTCATACGCAACGATTCCTCTTATGTATTATTCTAAGTATATACAGGATAGTAGTAACAAATTTTATTTAACATAATTATTTATAATGATTGTGTGTAGTAACATTCAACCTAAATGCAAATGAAATGTCACTGTCATCCACCATAGAAAACAAATTGAGCATTGTCTGTCAGTGCGTATATCACAGAGTCATAATTTATGTTTTTGTTGACTTTCTATTACTCAACTACTTTCCGTTGTATTTGTTCAATCTTAAACAGTGTTTTGCAATATGTAACGTGAGTTTCTTTTTACTGTTGTTAGTTTCATTTTTTTAATGATTTTATGTATGATAATGGTAATAATGTTTATCTGAAAACCTCCAATACAGCTATTGGCTATGCCATAAATAATAAAAAAAACTCTGTAGTGCGTCGAATTTATTTTACAGAACATAGCACAGAATACATTATATATGTGCGTATATATGTTAGGAATGTATGACTGTACACAAATATGTATATAGCCTTTAGGTATGTTACGCACAATGTTATCTACCCTCTCCTCACTACATTATCATTGTAATCTCGCCTGCAATACTCACACGGTCGTATAATAAAATAACAATTAGATGCAAAATTCATTTATAGGTACATACAAAACATTTAATACATCCCATAGTGACATATCCGAGTGTATGTTTCACATATTCTTGCGCACAACACGTTCATTGGCAAAGGGTCCCCGATACGCAGAGTCCTCGTGTGTCAAGCAGCTTATCAATGGCTTAGGTCACGATCGTGCTGTTATTTAATAGAGAGACTGCGTCCAATCGATCACTAGTTTTGTAAATAGCGGACTTTTAATTTTCGTTAACTTATTTTTATTATCATTTTAGTACATATTTTGACTTGAGTTATTTGGTTTAATCTACATTAATAAATTGTTTTCATTTTCGTACAGTGATCGTCGTTCTAGTATAGTTTCGCGATAAGAATTGAGTTATGAGCTAAACTCTGAGTTGGTTTATTAACTGAATTTATGACGTACTACATCTTCAGGTTGTGGTTCATAGATTTTGGTAAGCTGTGGCAGAGCCACGCAAGTTTTTGATGTTGCACAAATGGGCAGGCCCGTCCGGGGAAGTATCACGACCTTACAGAAGATCGACGTGAAGTGAAAGTATAATACTTTCGCGTTTTGTTTGGTGAGTGAGGTAACCAGGGCCTACTTTGAAAAGGTTGGCAACTAAAAGTCTATAACCACTCTGGTGTTTCCGTTGTCCTTGGGCGGCGGTAATCATTTTACATCAGGTGAACGACCTGATTGCTTCCCAAATTTTCTCATAAAACGTGATAAATTTTTCTTTTTTTTTAATTTTTGTAACGTATTGTTGAATAAGGATACATATTTAACTATATATGAAATAAAACAATATTTTATTGGCAACTTTAATGTGGCGATATTTGTAACAAAGCTTTACATTGCCAAAATAATTTTAACTATACTTTAGCATTGATTTTAATCTTACCCTGTGTAAAATAATCCCTAAAAGTGTCGGTAGCAATAAATCTTTAGTCCCTATTAATGCTATAATTTTACCTTATCTTTATAAAAATTTCGCAAGCTTATCCTTACTTAATATTATAAACCGCGAAAGTTTGTATGCATGGATGGATGGATGTTTGTAACTCTTTCACGCAGATACTACTGAATGGATTCTAATGAAACTTTACAATAATATAGCTTATACCTCAGAATAACGCATAGACTATAATTTATGTACATATTTTATGTATATCTGTCTTTCTGTCTGAATATTACGCCTTCAGCCTATTCTACGCAGACGTCCGCTACTACGCAGCAGCTAGTATTAATATAATAAGATATATATATACTTATACTTACATAGAATAAGGTAACTAATATTGCTTGGCAATTAGTTGTCTGATTCTCAAAGAGGTATAAAAGACAAATGTAAAAAGCTGGTATTTAATAAAATTTTACCATAACGAACATAAGCTAATGAACATACTACCATGGACAATAAAAATAACCTATTTGTTATATTCCTTGCAATTTACTAAAGACTTTTAAAAGATATTACGTTCATACAAAAGATGTGACTAAATTCGTATAGGCATTGACATACTTCTCTTTCGGCCGTAATCTATCTTTTACATCTTACTTACTACAAAGGTAACTTACCAAAGTTACCTACAAAAACATGTTAATTTATTAAATTTAAATTTTATTCTTTCATGCAATAGCCACACGTTATTGAACGTGTTTGCTGTTTATAATTATAATCTACACACATTTTAATTAAAGTTGTAAAATTTGTTTGTTTTTATGTATGATCTGCCGAACAACTGAATCCATTAAAAATAAGTAACAGTCAATCAAAGCATTTTGTAAATTAAAAAAGCTTTTGGCCGGGCTGGAATAAATTTGTAAATAAATTATTAAAGTCTTTATTTGATTTATTAGTTTATAGGTAATTTTTATTCAAGAATTTAATTATTTGCAAATAAAATAGGACGAAATAGTTTTCTAATTTTAATTGTGTTGGGTCCTTTAATTTATATTTTTAGTGTTAAAAATAATTTGAAAGAGAGAACGACATATTTACAAACGTATGATTTAGTACAAACATGTTTTATTTGTGTAGGCACTTACTTAAACTTTGCAAATAGAATGAGTTAATAACTTGGGCGTTTAAAATGTTGTGTATATATTATGGTGCGATGGATTAAGGATATCTTTATCAGATATTTAAATTTATCTAGGGGTCTTATCATTCAGGGGTGCGGTATTTCTTTTACAATATAAAATAACTTATCCTATTTCATATATTATTATTTGAAGTAAAGCAGCATAACTATTAGCGGAAGAGAATGTTGCTTAATACCGCAATCCAAATTAATGCAAGGCTCACACCTATTGAGCCTGCGTTGCTGAAACATCCCAATTCTTCAACTTGTACTTGATACCTGATATTGTATGGAAATCTGCATGCGTTTTCTGAAAGGAAAACCAATTTCAAATCAGGCAAATCTACATAAACAATAATTAACATGTCAATGTACAAGTAGTTTATCTATAAATTAATAAATTGTTCGTATAATAAAATATTCATTAATAGTATTGCGTATATTGAAACCTTACCTGTGCAAATGGCACTCAAAGATGAAGTAGCCGCCGATGACTGAACGGAAATGTAAAGGAATGGACAAGTATTAATAGTCCAGTAGTTAGCGCATGCATTCTGAAGGCTTATTTCTACATTTCCACTGGATGCTAATGTCTGGCAGGTTATTGCGCTTTGATCGAAACCCGACAAGGTAGCATTTTGTCTGCAATTTTTTCATTAATGTAAAATCAAAGAGATAAACAACATAAAAAGTATTAACGCATGCAAAGCAGATATTGTAAGCACATATGCACAATGAGACGGTTATATTGCTTAGTTTTCTACTAAACCATTAAAAGGCGTTAATTAGAAAATAAATGTATTTCTGCACCGCTATTAGATACTTCTCAACACTAGCTTAGTTATACATTGAAAATGTGTTTTCACGGAGTATCTTCTTACCTGGGTTGGGTAGCGATTCGCGAGTAGCAAATAATTAAGCTGCCAATTCCAGAGCTTCCACGTGATATACGTATTTTTCGATTGTCATTGTTTAAAAAGAAGTAATTCGGGCTTATTGAATAGAAATTAATGTAGCCCGGTTCCACAAAATCTTCGTACTGTCGAACGCCTGAAGATGAGTCAGCCGGGTAAGTTGACCCGCAGTTTGGGTTTATAATTCTGCGTCCAACTGAAAAAGTGTACAAAAAGAAGTGGTAGGTAAAAACATAATTATGACGAATATCCGTTATCCGTCACTCAGGTTTTGATAAAGGCGTACTTTTGTTTGTAAATGTTATGATAAAATGTTAATTTTTTTGTATAGCGGTTTGGTCTTATGCTACAAAATTACTTTTTTGTAGTGTGTGTGCTATACAGTTCATAGGTTCATTGGTTTATGGACATTGCTCGAGACTATTGGTCTAATAATAAGGAATTAGAATAAGATTTTTTAAAACAAATTAATTTTTATTAAAGCTTACAACTGCAGAAAAATTAAATATTTTCGAATACGCAAGGTTGATGTGGTTTTCGATTTGACAGTGCGAAGAAGACAGAAGACTAGATGTGAAACTAGTTTACAGTTCTTCTTTTGTTTATCTCAGTTACAACTGAATGTATAAAGAAAAATGATTGCAATATTTAGCTCTAATTTATTATACGACATTGACTATTCGGAAAGACATCGTGGAAATACGTAGACTAGATTAAGTTTAGCCCGTAACACTGACGAAACATTTGACACACATTTACCACCTATAGGTTGATTCTTTCAACAATAGTTATATTGCGTATCAATAGAAGACGACATCCTGCTTTTATACTACAGTAATTTATATATTTAATAAGAAACGATATTTGTATTGTTATTCATTTTAACTCTTAAGGCCAACAGATCGAAAGAGTAAACTCTATCGATTTGTTGGCCTTAAATTTGTAATGTCAGACCCTATATAACAACAAACTTGATCCTTTGGCCCTAAGAGGTGGTCTACTGTGACTCACAAAGAAACAATACGCGACGTTTTCACGACGACGATAACGGACAATAAATAATGTACAAACAGCTCTTATCAGACCTTATAACCTTTATTATGAGATAAATAGACTATTTAGAATCGATTCTACTTCATTTTATTGTAGAGCCCAACTGCTGCAATAATAATAAATAACCGGATCGTCACGATTTCGTGAACATTACTTGTATTTGTTACGAATCAATTTTTTTTTTACCTTGAGCAATTCTTTCCAGAATGGGATTCATGGTGAGCTCAACATTTGTTCCTTCGGTGTTTAAGGTCAGGGTAGTTATGTCATTGCGCATATCGCGTACCAAGTTCCAGAGATTGTCAAATTGATTAGTGGCAGTGGCGAAAAGGATCCTCAAATCTGAAATACAATTATCGAATTAAAAACAGTTGAAGGCTTACAGTTTTAACAATGTTGTTTACGTGTGACATTTCACCAACCCGGCACGGTTTCATTCAGTATTCTGGCTTCTTCCCAAACGGCCGGCGTGTTTTGTATGTTGCCGCTATTAAGCAAGAAAAGAAGTACGGTAGCATTGCCCCCAACGTAGTTCGCTGTTCTCTCGTTATCTAGTTCCCTGTGCATCATTATACGTATGTTCCTGAAAGTGGTCTCCAAATTCACTCCTGTCAGCACTGTAAATATGTATATTGTTACAAATTTTTATATTGATGGCGGTAAAATGACAAGTACATTTTTATTAACAAAATACAAAACTAATTTCATCTATCTCAGTTACTATACAATTTCTATTTGATTTTGATGTATTTCCAGAGAACCAATTAAATTAATATACATGAGAGCTATACCGAACCCAATGCAAAAATAACTTTTAAAATATGTTCATCAATGGCGGAGTTCTGAGGTAAAAAACAAAAAATACAATCGTATTGACATCCTCCTTTTTTGGAGATGGTTGAAAAGCACTTAGTTGAAAGACAACCTACAAATGGTTTATAAATGTGTATCTGATATACATTTTGAATATTTTCATTATTTTTTAGCGATTAAATGATTAACTAAACACAAAGAAAGAAACCTCTTATTTTTATTCAGCTAGAGATTGGCTAGAGAGCGTTAGGTTAGCAGCTGCTAAAATTCATATCCATAGGCGTTTTGAAAGGCATTAAGATGGATGAATGAACATGAATCGATGATGTACTCACAGGTCTGGTGTCTCGTCATAGTATAATTTGTGTGGAATTCTGATATTGAAAAGGTTTTGTTCACAATGACATTCCCGTCGAAAGCACTGAGCAATGTTACACTCGATCCGTATTTACTGACTTCTATATTATCCAGTAAGTACGAAATTGCGGGGTACACGGCCTGGTATGGCCACAAAGCGTCCAGCACTATGTAGAGGTTGGTTTTGAAACGATAATCCGGCAAGGTCGCCTCCGTAGTAATACAATTCATGTCGTTCATGTTGTTTGCTGAAAATGCGTTTGAGTCATAAAGATTGGATTGGAATTAAGGTCATCAATGATTACAACTTACTATTCATGCCTTGTTTCATATTACACGCACGTAGAATTAAAGAATCTTTTTGTCTAATGAGATACATAATTTGTATATTTTTTCTAATTCTTTTAGGAGTTATATATTTACTTTATTTACTTTATTTTTGTTATTAGCGATGAGTCTTCACGATGTAACTAAACACCTATCGCAAATCTGGCAGCTCTGGCTCCCGAGATACAAGCAATGCTTAGTTTGGGATCCATTGTTAATGTTTCGTAGCTTGAGGTTAGTTACAAAATTTTGTATTAATTTTAATTACTATCTTCTTATTTTTAAGACATGTATTGTAACTTACTTTTGCATCTACTTAGATAAATAAATAAAATAAATATTTGACTTTGATTTAATAAAAACAAACGAAGAATGAAATGTTTATTCGTTTTTCACTTTCAGGAACTTTTATAACTATGAAATGAATTAAAAATATTTAAACTTACTTGTATAAGTTTGGAAATTATTGACGGCGCTATTAACTAGATCTTCGAGACCTCCGGTTATGGTTCCTCGTAATGGGATGTTAGTGTCTAAAGCAGCAGCGAACGTGTGAGTTTCTGTTACCAGATTGTTGCTGGTTATATATTGTTGGCTCAATTCCTGCCGGTTGCAGGCTCTTAGGGTTGGGTTATAAACGCCGTTCTAAAAGATGTATTTTCTCTAATTTAAAGCTATTTGAAGTTAGTAAATGTGAGAAAATAGATACTATCTTAATATTTCAATTTAATCAAACATCGAACCTTTGGAAAATAATTAAAGATTTATTTAAAATTATATAGATTGAATGAAACATCATTACGGATTTTCGTTTTTTTGCTATAGGTTTATTTTTATCAATAGTAGGTCCTAAGTAATTTGGCTATGTTAACATCCTATATACATATTTTATTATAAGGAAATGTATTGCAAAATTAAATTATAATCAGTGTTATACCTTACAAATACTACTTTATCATATACAGATATTTCATCTCATAATTTTTAATTATATTACTGGATAAATTATTTCCAACTCACCCTTGCTGTATAATACATATCTAGGAGCTGTGATAGTTTGAGCGTGCTCGACATACCCAGCACTGAGGACAATGTGCTGCCAATGACAAATCCGTCTATATCACCGCGTATTTCGGGGTCCGTCATCTCCACGTCAACTCGGCTGTGGAGCATGTAGAATCGTGGCGCTTGTGAGCTGTTCCAGTTTCCAGCAGTGCCGACAGAAATTGACGATCTGCCCCTTTCGGTGCCCTGGATCAGCACCGCCTCGGCTAAATCGCCTTTAAAAAGAAGAATGAATTGTACAAAGACGAATTTATCAACTAATCCTTTCGCTGTAAAGACAACTTCAACTTGCAACCACAGCTGTAGAACTAATATCTGTAATACACACATTTTCTTCTCCCATATCTATACCTACTAATAAATGGAGAGCCGGTTTTTTTTTCGGTTAAACTGCGAAAACTACTGAACCGATCGGAATACTTATACCATAAGATGCAGCGTGTTTTGGATTAAGTTTTAAGTACATACATTATATTTATATCGTGCAAATAAGCCTAGCTATAACAATTTTCGCGGACGACGTCGCGGGCGAATCACTTGTGACCTTTTTTTTTTTTTTTTTCGTGGGGAAATCCTGCATAGGAGACCTGTCTACCAAGAGAGGGTAGACAGGTTATGTCGGATTCCTACCGACTAAAACCCAACGTTACTCATCTTTAGTCCTGATGAGGGGGCACGGGATCTCCTAAAGGAACGCAACCGCGGCCCCTCTGACTTACTAAGTAGCCCAGGTTCGGGGATATACTCGCTACCCCAAGTACGTGCGCAAAGATGAGGATCTTGATCGCCTGCAGCCCCAAGAACCCGTTCACTCAACGGAGCTATCTTTGGGTGCCATGGCTGGGAGCTCCAACTCCCTACCGTCGTCTCCGGCGGGTGGGATCACTTCTTTCGCGACCACGTTCAGCAGCCTCCTTTTGGAGCATAACAGTCTCGCAAAAGGAGGCTACAGCGCTCCACTTTGGGTTTCCGGACAGCATTGCAGAAATAACTAACTGCTGTCAGGGAAAGTCTCTGTCCAATATGGTTCTCCAGGTTCCACCTCTTCTGCTCCCATGCAGGGCATATCGCAAGCGTATGGTCTGCGGAATCCTGGTTCACCCCACCGCAGTGGTAGCACATCGCCGTCGCTTCTCGTCCAATCCTACACAGATAATCACCGAAGCAGCCGTGCCCTGTGATTATCTGTGTAGGTCTGTAAGTGAGTCTTCCCCACCGTCGCTGCATCCAGGCTTCGAAGACCGGCAAAATTGCCCTTATGACGCGTTTGCGTGCAAATTGCTCTTTACAAAGCCGTTCCACGTCCAAAGAGCGCTGAGCCCTTCTTGCCGTTTAACAGCCTCGAGCACCTCTACTGACTCGCTACGACCACTTTGGCGGATGACTCGAATCTGGTTGTAAACACATGCATCCATGTTCGCCAGTATGTCCAAAGGTGGGAAGAGAGCCAGGAGTGTCGCTGCCTCAAATGATATCGTGCGATATCCTCGAACGATCCGTATGGCTATCCTCCGCTGGACGCTGTAAGTTTTAGTTCTACAGCGTCTAATGGCCAGCCTTTGAGCCCAAACTGGTGCACCATACAGAGCCACGGAACGTACGACTCCTGCATAGAGGCGGCGCACTTCCTCTCTTGGGCCCCCAAGATTGGGCAAGAGTCTGTGCATGGCACCCGCTACCCTCTCGATCCGGGGGACTAGGCGCTCAAGGTGTTCTTCAAAACCCCAGCGACTGTCCAGAATAAGGCCAAGGTACTTCATATACCGCCCCACTTCTACTTCAGACCCACTCACTTGGATACATGAGTTAGGTGGTTCCGTGTTTCGTGACATTTTATGAAACCATAGCGCTTCGGTCTTGTGAGGTGCTATCTTTAATCCCAACTCATGTATCTTATCAATGACGATTTGCACGCCAAGTTCAGCTCGCTCTTTGGCCCTCTCGAAATTTTCCCCGCTAGCAACTACTAGCGTGTCATCCGCATAACAGACGACGTCGACGCTAGCGGGAAGCTCGGTACGCAAAACTGCATCGTATGCAATGTTCCACAATAATGGGCCCAGCACTGAGCCCTGTGGAACCCCACAGCACATCTCCCTCCTGATTGTAGTACCGTCTTGGTCTGTGTAAAGAACGTACCTGTCGTGTAAATAATTTGCGACAATACCTTGGAGGTATTGTGGCACATTGTGCGTCGTTAACCCTTCCAGAATAGCGCCCCAAGGCAGAGAGTTGAAAGCGTTTACGATATCAAGACTAATCGCCAACGCCACTCTACCCTGGGACACAGCTTGGTCCGATAAGAAGCGAAATCACTTGTGACTAACCTAACCTAACTTCTACAGTACTCTGGTAATAACACCGAAATGTTTACCCGATAATGTCGCAGGATATATGGACATGACGGTTTGCTGCACGTTATTGTAGTTGAGAGCTGAGCCCTTGGTCAGTTCCAGGATGGGCACCTGCTGCAGTTCCGCGCCGGCCGCGATTCCCGCTATCAAGTGGCCAGCGGAGACAGCGCCCCATCGAGTGCTCACGACGCCATTGAGCAACGGACACGTACTCTGGCCCAACACTTGACGTTCAGATTTGAAACTGCTCTTGCGTGTGTATTCAACTTCATCTTTTGGATTGTAATCTCTCATTTGACCTTTTGTGTTAGCTGCCTTCCTGAAGTAGATACAAGAGTATTTAACATTTTTATCGGATTATAACCGGCAAAATAATTTTGATCGCTTTTTGTATTCCACTTACATCATTGACAGATCCAATATTTCCACATCATCTTTAACAAGAGAAACGTCTCTCGCGGTTCTTAAGGCTCGATACTGCGACAATTGATTGCAACTGTTTTCATTGCCACGCACTCGAGCATCAACTGTTGTAGAGAGCATTTGATGTAAACCACACTGTAATAAATAAAAAACAGTCTCATTACTTAACCTTCTACAGTTTTTATCAGAAGGCATTTAATTACTACCTAATAATTATACATATTATATATCTGCGTTATCAACTATAATTCAGTGGACGTGAGTCACCAGAGTTCAAGTCCCGGTGATGGCTGGCCTTGGTTTTAGCAGAAGCAGTTTTTAAGCAGTAAGCTTTAACTAAGCCAGTGGTAAATTAATTAAGGAATTGCTGGAGAAGGAGTTTTTCTTTTATCTTAATTCCTATTACCGTAGTAACAAGTAAAAATACTTCTTTCTATTAAAGAATACGTCAAAACTATCAATTGGCACTGTTTCATACTTTTTGTCCTTTGTAAAAAAATCTTAAAACACAAGATCCACAGTCTCCACGGCGCATTTGCCAAGTTATCGGCTTAGGCGACGAGGGCCGTAGGTTCGGAAAAACCACTCGTGTGACTCAAAATAATTCTCTCGGATCTGGATATTTTTCCACGTGTAATTCATGTATGTGAAACTTCTTTACAATACAGAATAGTGTTGCCCTTCAGTGAGAGTAACGATTTTTCATTAATGAACTAATAACATAAGAAATAATAACATAAGAATAAAAAACAGATTCATCAAAAATCCCACGGCTGTGTGAAGATTTTATTATGTCATATGTTGTATTTATCTACAACATGTGACATAATAATCTATTGACTGCTAATGATATCGTTGTACGTTTGTTTACCTTTAAAGCAGACGTCACTGTATTATTCGCCAGTACTAACAGATTCCCCGGAATGATTCTCGTCAGCAGCAATCTGTGGCGGTAGAACGAATGAAAAGTGGGAGCAAATGGAAGAATAGTCGATTGAGCTCCCAAACTGACTTCCGGCTGGTGAAATTCGATACCATCTTGCCTGTACCTGTAATTTACATTATAAAGATATGATACCATTCCCCACTGAACACTATTAATTACTGACATCCATATATTTGAAAATAAACGAAGCGTATTGAGTTATACTTACGTGTGAAGTAACAACACAGCAAGCTGTCTTAGATCGACGTTAACATCGGGATTGTCCTCGATCTTGCGAATAATGTCTATGAGTACTGGCATGGTTGTTGGGGGCAGATTGTTTCTGTTTAACAGCAAGGGATCCGTATAGCACTCCCGCAGCTCAGGGGCCAAGCTAGATTGGGCAGTTAGCTGCGCGTGGGCGCTTGACACCCCTAATACCATAATTGCCAACCAGTACATTTTGAGTGCCTGCTTCGTTCTGTTAGAAAGATAAGACAAAAGTAATTTTTACGCAACGCAGCTTTACAGTTGATTTGATTATTTAATTCTTTTTTCATTGATCACTTTGTGATAGGTTTTTTGTAAAGGATTTTGATAAGTGCAAGCTGTTGTATACAGTAACGAGTATTCGAAGGGGAAACGTATCTGTGGTTAAACTTCTTCTGTCCAAACAATATACCCGTGCTTCGACATGTAGTAATGTAAAATTTTTATGGAACTTAAGTTTTGAATTTTTTATATCAATAGATTTAATAGCAAAAGTACGCTACAATTTTATAACATTACAAAAAAATTTGGGATATGGATCACATTCGTTAATCAAGTTTATCTGTGTTATATTGAAACAAAATAAAATCAATAAAATCTTTTTAAAATTCAAGATATACATTTTATTCGTTATTAAGGTGATTCGATGATTCGTTGGTATGACATTAACTTATTATAAGAAGAAAAGGCCTATTCGTGTATACTGTAAAAACTTCTTACGATGGATGGAATGACAGACCAAATCATGTTTTAATGTTATCTTACAAATAAAAGGCGAAGATACGATAAAATGTATAGATGACGACGTTTCTGTGGTATTTTTTACTGTTAATAATGTTAAAGCGTTATCAATTAAAACAAGGAGTGGGCGAGGAAATGCCATACGAAGGTCTTAATTGAGTTTTTGGTTATGTTTGAACAAAATCCTAAACCAATACTGTGAGTGTTTTTCTTTGAATTACTAATAAAAGAAATTTATGCTAAATATTTAGCCGTGTTTTAATTATTAATATTGCCTTAATATAAGATCTAATTACATCTTTTATAGTATTATTTATTCATATTATTTACCTACCTAAAAAAAAGTAAAGTAACAGCCTATACATGTCCCACTGCTGGGCAAAGGCCTCCTCTATACAGAGGGTATCATAGTCCACCACGCGGCCCCACTGCGGATTGGCGGACTTCACATATCTTCGAAATATTTTTTTTTGTTATTATTTCCAAAATATGCAGGTTTCCTCACGATGTATTCCTTCACCGCGGAGCACGTGATAAGTCAGCACTTAAAGTTAAAAACTTCATTGGTGCCGGCACCGTGGATCGAACTCAGGTTGCTCGAGTATATTGAATTAAAGGCGAGCGCCCGGACACTGAGGTATCACGGCTCATTACCTACCTATGTATATCTTAAATTTATATACGTAATACATAATAAGAATATTAAATTTTAAAATAGGCATTTGATCATGAAATGAATGAATTCGCATAATAGGCCAAGCAGCAGCCGTAGGCAGTTGCACGGCTGGGGCGGCTCGTACATTGTATTTTTAATAATGCTGTACCACGGACTGATGTGGAAGTGTTATACTTCTGCTTTACGTCTGGTGAGTAAGGTAACCAGGCTACAATTTTTTGAAGTAAAACTTCTTTATCGGGGTTGGAAAAAAATGTTGTGTAACATTTTTGCGTTACGCGCTAGTTCCTTTGTGTGTTCATAGCAATATATATATATGTTATATTAAAGTGATCAGCAAAATCAAAGGGTTTATTTTAATTCTAATTCTAAAATGTAAACAATATATTTCGTATTTCAGTTACCATAAGCCATTAATAACACAAATATATAATAACGACATCAATGATAGTAATAATTCTAAAGGCAGGCACCGCCCACCGTGACCTGACTGCGCCTTCCACCGAAGACACAATCTGAAGCTGACCGACGATGCTCTTCGAAACCTCGATCGGCTCCTGGAACTTGCGGTTGCGACGTCGATCCAACGTCCGCAAGTTCGGTTTTCCAAAAAAACTTCACTCACAACACTCGCGCGCGAGTCGAATGTCTGCCTTGTACTCACTGGCTAACTATTCGGCAACGAAGGACCATGTACAAATTCAAAGTATTTTGGGTCCGTGAGGTTAATTGAAATAAACAAGGTGCACGTTGCAAGTTTTTTAATCAACAATTTTTGCGGACCCTCATACTAATTACAACGGTCAAACCATAGTGTGTTTTAATTTATTACTAACGCCACCTATGTATTACAAATAAGAAACTAAATATTATACAAAGCTAAAATGAAATAATTGTAGAATTTGTATTTATGTCTATGATAATAAAAGCCTTTTATTAAACTTTATCTCATTTAACTTTATTTAACCAATTTCTGTAAAGTTGCATATAGTAAATTATTTTTTAAAAATAACGTCATAAAAAAGTTTCACTTCTTACGAGTGTACGCTAGTACACGCACACATTTTTTTTTTATAAGAGTACAGCTTAAACTTTTCACCTTCTACAATTCCACGGGAGTCCCAGGTGTCCCTTGGCTATCGCTTAACTTCAGGGTAACCGCGAGAAGACTTACTACTTTCTTAAGTAAAAATAAAATGGGTACACAATATTTGCAGTTTTTAATGCTATCAAAGATTTATATTTTGTTGCATTGTTTTTTTGTTTACGTGTGGAATATATGCCAACAAATAAGTAAAGTAAATATAAATGATTGAATTAAAAGATACACTTAAAATATCGATGATTACAATCGTAGTTTAAATATTTATCATTTATCATTAGTTTATACTTTTGTTCGGACATTGTATCAAGAGTACACACTACGTAGTTAAATAAAACCCAGCGATAATAACAAACGGAAAGGATGTCAAAAATTAGTCATCTACATTTAAGGTATACAATTAAAGAAATTAGTCTCGAATTATTATTAATTTTATTCAATTAACGTAAATGTATAAACAGTTATGATGATATTTACACTATTAATTTTGATTTAATTTGAGATAAAACTAGGTCAGTGTATAATTTTGTATAAATTTCAAATCTACTGAGTTCTAATGTCAAAAATTTGAATCATAATGGCACTTGTGACTAATGCGGTTATGTTATTCGTAATCATAAAAGAGTTCTGTTGATATTTTTACTCAGTTTAGTGGAATGTGCGTATAGGTGTATCACGTAATTTATTGATACACCAAACACCATAATATGTATTCAGAATATATAGCCATTTAATTTTGACGGTTAAAAAATAAATAATTGGCGAAAAAACGACATTCCGGAATTCCGAATAAAGTAATAATAATTATACCAAAAATCGTGAAGAAATATGCATGTCCATTTCATTACCTTATTCCTCTTGAATAGAATGATTTAATTATGGAGAAATTTCACTTTTATCACACACTTGACTGCGACAATCTCTTAAGTGAGCACATATCCACTTAATTAATACACATTAAAGAGCTATATGAAAATTCGGGTGCGTCCAACGTAAACCTAGTTCAGACTTGTAAAATAAAGGGCAACAGTTTTCACGATAAGATAATGAAAACAGGTCTAGATAAATTCATACCGGCGATAGCCAAGCGTTGTGTCCTTATCAGGCTCCATATCTGTTTTTTACTCGCGATTATGGCGATAGTGTTGATTATGGTGAAATCGGGCTCTCATTGTACCATTTGTGGAGAGCTTAATTATAGAAATTTGCTGACATACTGCAAAGTTTTGATTTGAATTTCATTCGGAAATGTAACTGTGCGAACTAGAGCCGCTAGCAGGAATTTTCTGAGCCGTTATGGCCCAAATATGCTACTTATTTTTCTTTTTTAGTCCGGTGAGTGCGATGAGGTCTCTAAAGGACTTATATTCCAAACTCCAACAGAACTTTTATTCCAAAAAAAAAAAAAAAAATTACAGTTTTATTTTCTGAGATTGTCGTAGTCATCGAAAGAATTTATTGTTACAAAGAAAAAATATGACAATTACATATAATAAATTGCGATAAACAGTTTAAATTATAAGCACAAAGTGACTAAACATGGGCAAAACTGAAGTGATAATTTGTGAATCAGACTCTGAAAAAGATAACAAACATAAGGGGGATTAGTTTGTCCATTTCTTTTAAATTGATAAATAATATCGATAATATTTTTAACATAATGGTGTATTTCAAAGAGGCAAAAAGAAACCGACGAGGATGGGATTCGAACCCACGCGTGCAGAGCACATTGGATTAGCAGTCCAACGCCTTAACCACTCGGCCACCTCGTCATATAGATAGAGGCACATATTTTTTAATTGATTTGATGTAATATCTATGTGGTCTGAAACACTACAATACATATTATTAAAAAATTAAAGAATTTGTATAGTGTTTCAGTTTAGTAGTTTAGTTCGTTTTTGGTAACGTGAAAATAAATTATTTAAACAAAAACTTTTTATTCAGGTCATTATTGTATACAAATATCTATTCATATTTATGTATATCTTATGCATAAAAATTTAACACGTAGTTAATGGCAACAAATTTAGAATTTTAATTACAGTTTATTGCAGCGCCATCTATGAAAAGCTGTGAAATTAGTCTACAAAAAGTAACAGCAGTACCGCCATCTATGAAAATCAAATGAAAAATGTCAATGTTAAAGGACGCAATCGCAATTTTAAAAGCGCCATCTATTGGCAATTACTTACTGGTATGAAATGCTAGCATCTTAATTCTTAATAGACATAAGGACAAAAATACATATTATTTGGTGAAATAACATACAAAAAATTATTTCATTCATCATTTCCAAACAATATGTATATATTTTAATATTTTCAAACAATTATGAATGATGATGTATATTGGTTAGGAGATAATGTTCAAAGAGTAGATATAAATTGTTTTCATACATTGAACTACCTAGTAGTACCTACTAGGTATCTAAAAACCTAACATGAAAACTACCTTTTACAATATTTTCGCCTACAGTTAGACGTATCGTATACAAGGAAATGAGGATCATATAATACAGTAAATTTTTTCTAGGTAGTTTCATGATTATATTATTTGTTTTTTTATTAAGGTTTACCAGCTGTTGTTACAACTATACAATTTATATTAACAATACAGTAATTATAACTAAGCGTACAACTAATTTAAGGTAAACACAACATGCATATTAGATAATGTAAAGGTAATTTTAGCAAAAAGTCTTTTTAGAATATAAACATGGATAGTAATAAAAATAAAAATTTAATTAAATTAAATATAAATTTAAAAACAGTAATTATAAATCCTATTACAAATGAAAACAAGATCATTAATAATGGTGCGTTAAATTTCCACTTAATTTTTAGTTTTGTACCTGTTTCTGCAAACACAAACATACAAATTTTAATAATATTATATACCGTGAATTATTTTCCATTTCCATTTATAATACACGTGTAAAGATAAATAAAAATATATAAAGTTAAATTATTAATTAACATCTAATCTTTAAACCCAAAACCATATTGTAATAAGTAGTATGGATGTCCATTCGTAGTGTAGTATGTATTTTATTAAAAATGTTTTTTTAATTAACCTAGTCATTTGTTTTAAACAGCTTCTTTACATAGTATAAAACAAAGACGTTACCGCTGTTTGTATGCTTAGATCTTTTAAACTACGCTACAGATTTTAGTGCTGTTTTCAGCAATATATAAAGTTGAAGTCGCTAGTACAGAGTAAAAGTATTGTTCTACGTTCTACAATAGAAAAGATGTATTTTACCAGCTATCAACTTACGGAACATGGTTGTAATCTTTTAATTAAAATTGTTTATGATACATTATATGTTTAATTTCAGTTTAATTTGAAAAATAATATTTAAGAAGCAAACTGTTTCTTGACTCATCCGCGAGGACTCGCTATCATTCCCAATGCCAGCCATCATCCTATAAACGTTATGAAAACAAAATAATATTAATCAAATAAAATTAAAAAATTATTACGAGTAAAAGAACAAACATATATGAGGTCATTTACAATTTGAAAACTTTTCTTTTTGTACCTACTTACGCTTACTGGCAAAACATTTTATGGGTTCGTGATGAAAATGAACATAACTTTTAAATTTTTTTTATTGGGAAAACATTAAAAATTAATATATACAAAGAAAAAATCATCAGTTCACCATTTTTATAAAAGCAAAGTTCCTCCAAGATCGGTGTGTTTTTAATTATATTAATTATATTCCTTAGAGGAACGTTTTGCATTACATAAATAAAAGCTGAAGTGAAACTTAGCTTAACTTTGATAGGCTTACTCAAAATATTGTACTAAAGGTAAATTTCAAGTAACGGTAAACGTAAATTAAGATATAGTCCACTTATAAAAACCAATATGAGGGGTTTTAGGGAATAATTCTCCGCGCTCGTGTGAATCGGCAAAATTCACATATCTTTGAAATGTTTTATTTTCTTCAGGTTCATGAAGTTTTTCTTCGCTGCTATGCCGTGCTAATTCAGCTTTTAAAATGCGTGTCATTTGCGTCGGGCAACGAGATTTAAACTTTTTGAGATTTTTGCCCGAGTAAATTGAATTAAAGGCGATTTTTGCCCCTGCCACTGAAGTGTTAGAGCAAAAATTGCTCGTAAAATTTGTCTTTAGTGCATAGTTTAAGATAACAATAGATTTACTCATTTTATAGCTCTCAATTTGAAATTTAAATTCCCGACGTTTTGAACGCTTTTCAGCTACCTCGGATGCTTGGTAAAATAATTACTTACAGTTTAATTTAATCTAGTGCAGTATTCGTGTCACAAGACGTCCTTACAATTAATGTGAGGCATTTATAAATGTCCATGATTAGCGTCGATTACTTACTAATTCGACGTCTCTTCCATAAATACATATAAGAAAAATGTATGATGTTATCCTTCTTTTGGCAAAAAAAATAGGAGAGTAAAATTATTACGATGCGCGTGTACACCGACCCCGACGTGATGAAGTTGGTTGCAAAGCGATCTCCGAATTCCGCCTTACTTCACGGTATTACCATGTCAACCAAATAACAACTTTTGACATTTACCTATAATTGAAATTTATTTAATTAGATCGTCTTATCAATTGCATTTAACGTCTTCTTTACAAACAAAGAGTACTGGCACAGGGGATAAAATTTTTAGTTATTTTTCTTTTGTTACTATAAAGAAGTATAACTTCTTACTTCTCTTTTATATAAAATTCGATTTAAGGATTAATGTTTACAATGACATAGTGAGAGTTTGTTTCGAGAGTGGGCAACGGTAGGGGTAATCCACCATGCACCGTTCTCTCCTTCTCGAAGAGTCTGTCTGAGTTTTTTTTGTTTTCTTTTTCGTTGAAACTAATAGTTTACGGAGAGTTTGAGTTACTGACTGCCGGCATTTAGCCTGATTTGAAATTAAATATTACAGGTCTCGTTCAGATTTATTTTCAAACGATAATATAAACATATAGATATTTTAAGTCAGTTGGCGGTCAATACACTGTCGCATCAGACAAACAAGGCGTGACTAGAAAATGCAAATCGATGAAATTACAACAATGAATCCGCAAATTAAAGTGACGCATTAAGGAAGGCCGTGGAATTACATTTTCCACTGCTCGCCGTCACTCACGGACATTCGCAGAAAAAAAGAGAACTGTAAAAGCGCCTTTGGAGCCGTGATTAGCATACTGTCCAGGAGCTCGCTTTTAATTCAATATACTCGAGCAACCTGAGGTCAATCCCCGATGTCGGCACCAATGAAATAGTTAGTTTTATCTGAATTATCATGTGCTCAGCAATGAAGGAAAACATCGTGAGGAAACCTGAATATTTTTGAAATAATAACAAAGATATGTGAAGTCCGCAGTGGCCTCGCGTAGCGGACTATGCCCTAATATCCCCTGTACAGAGGAAGCATTTGTCCAGCTGTGGGACATATATAGCCTGTTACTTTAATTTTTTTAAAAGCACTTATAGGGCAGGCGTAGCCTCTTCTTTACGGCATTAAAATAAAATTAAAAAGGTATGGAAAAGTCAAAAAGCAAATATACAGATATATCTACATATGTCCCAGCACATAATATGTAGATATATTTGCTGTTACTTTTTAGGCCTTCTCCGTACACACGATATGAGGGCAAAGTCCACCATACGACCCCTCTGCGGTTTGGTAGACTTCACAAATAATTGAATTATTTTAAAACGTACAGAGTACAAAGTACTATCTTAATTTAAATGATAGTAAGTTCAAAACGAAATAATCACCATGAATACATTTTAAAGCGAAATCTAGTTCAAAATTACATATAAAAGAAACCATGAAATTAAATAACTTCACGGTTTCTTTTATTGGCCATGTGCATAATTATTTAATTGCACTCGCGGCCATAGAAACAGATTTATGGTTTTCAATTAAAATAAACTGGGCATGAGCGCTGTCTCTTACCCGTCTGATGAATTCGTTCAAAGCGAATTAATTGTAACGGAAGCTGCATTCAATTACCTCTCTCTTGGTTCTTTGGCGTAAATAAAACGATACAATTTAGTTATTAATTTAAATTATTTGTCGTAATTTTTAGTTACAACTACTATTTTGTGATGTGATTT